AACTTGAACCACGGGTGAAGTCGCTCGAGTTCAATCTCCGCTCGAATTCAGTTCGCGTCAGACACGTCCCGTCCTTGATATTTCTCTAAGTCCCACAAACGGATAGTGGGGACTTGTGTAGCACTCCTTACGCCGTAGTACTACATCTAATCAATATTATTAATACCTAAAATACTTCGAGGCCTCAAGTTATCCTGTAGTCCAAGGTACAGCCTTTATATGCAGCGCAAGGTATCATCTCTACCTGAGGTTATGAGCTAATGTCCAGTAAAGCCCAAAGAGGATGTCAACTCGGTATCAGGGCGGTCTTGCTCAGATGTCCCTCGCTAAGTCTCAAGAAGACGCCGCTCTGACCTTAGCGCTGACATCTCAAATGATGGCGCACACATCTCTGGGCAGAAATGCCGAAACAAGGTCACGTCGGGGTCTATCGGGCCTTCCGAAGCAAGGTCGACGCGAGACCTCGGCTGCGACCTCACGAGAACCTTACGACGCATTGGGCGTGTAGATACCAAGTCCGCCATGCTCGCGCGTGACTTTCTCTATAAGTCGGCAAATGCGAAACCGTCACAGCGGTGCACCTCCGATCGCTGGTAGCAGAGCTCGCTTACGGGCGTGAAGAACAATCACAATATCAAAACTTATGGGGCATACAGTATCCAGGCCGGCGAGTCGTCTATTGTCTCCACATGGAGCGCCGTATTGTCCACGGAGGCAAACTGAAAGCGGCGAACGGCGAGAGGCGGACATCGAGCCCCCGGACACTGCGCTTTTCCCTGTGTCTTCGCCACCATGCCATCTGTCAATCTATCTCCGAAATGTTTCATCTCCGAGAAAAGTGGATCTGAAGGATACAAAGCCGACAGATCGGTACCAGTTGTGATTACCGCGCCTTGATCAGGAAGATTTGCATCAAAAGACTAAAAGTACAACTCCTGAAGTGACGGAAAGAGGTATGCCGCGGTGTGCAGACATCCGAAGTCCTATCCGAACTCTTTCTGATCGTTTGCTGCAGACCCTTTCACATTGTGGTCGTTTGCGGACATTGTGAACTGTCTCCAAGGAGCAATCAGCCATCGCGGCATCAGCGGACGGGAGCGTCAGCGTTTCTCCGGGTCACTCCAATGTTATGGAAAGACCCTGGCACGTGCGGACTGTCGTATGTATACTCCAGCCATGGCGGGTTTCTTCAAAGTCCAACTCGGCTTAGAGTGCCATCCTTCATTCCTCCCAAGCCTAACTTTCCTCGTCAGCTGTCATGGGCTCCGCACCGTCGAAGTACTCCGCTGCGCACGTCGCGACCTCGGAGAATATGCGGCTAGTCTCTGACACACTGCTTGACGAGAAGCGCGCCGCCCGAAGGAGTCTCCTGGAGGGACAGGGCTCCCCACACCGCCCTCACAAAGCACCCAAGTCCGCAGATGGCTCTCTGAAGCTGAGCAACATCTCCGAGTGGGAGGCCTCTGCCTCGAGCCCGGTCCATACCCTCGCACGGACAGTCCTCCCGCTCAGCGACCTCAGCGTGCTGCAGCGCAGGAGTGTGCACGTCAAGGACAGTCCTCATGTGTTCAACACGGAGGTTGAGTTCAAGACGGCACCCATCGCGAACCAGAGGCAGAGCGGGCGTTGCTGGTTGTTCGCGTCCACGAACGTCCTGAGGTACCCGATTATGAAGAAGCTGAACTTGAAAGAGTTCGAGCTGTCCCAGGTAAGGACATTGCCTTCGTGTATTTGCAAGAGACCAACCTTTCTCTAGAGTTACCCCTACTTCTACGACCACCTTAACAAGGCGAACTACTTCCTCGAGCTGGCCATCGAGGATCCCGAGCTCCCTCTTGACTCCCGTCTCTTCTCGACGCTGTCGCGAGACATGATCTCCGACGGTGGTCAGTGGGACATGGCTGTGAACCTGTTCGAGACGTACGGCGTCGTTCCGCAGGACATCTACCCCGAGACGGTGCACACGAGCCTCTCCGCGCCGATGAACAAGCTTCTCAAGACCAAGGTCCGCGAGCACGCGCTGGTCCTCCGCAAACTGGCGGCGTCGCTCAAGTCCGACAACCTCAGCAAGGACGAGCTCGTGGCGTCCCTTCGCGCGAAGAAGGAGGAGCTGATGGCGGAGACGTACCGGATTATCACAGCAACAATGGGGCTCCCGCCGAAGCCGGACGAGAAGTTCGTCTGGGACTACTACGACAAGGACGGCAAGTACCACAAGTGGGAGGGCACGCCCGTCGAGTTCTACCAGCAGTTCGTTGGGAAGCAGGTAGGTCTAATTCGGGTAGTTGCCGGAATGATAGGTCTCATCTCGAGTGTGATCAGCCTGCTGAGAGCTTCTCGCTGATCAACGACCCGCGGAACCCATACAACACGTTGTACACGGTTGATAAGCTCGGCAACCTGTGGGGCGGTCGGCCAGTACTCTGTAAGTACAACCCGCTTGCCTGCGGGACGTAAAAAGCTCACCGGATCTGGCAGACGTTAACACTGAGAGCGAGAAAATGTCCTCAACGGTCGTCAAGCTGCTCAAGGCAGGACAGCCGGTCTTCTTCGGGTGCGACGTCCTGCAGCAGGAGGACCGGCAGCGCGGCATTCTCGACCTCGACCTGTTCGACTTCGAGACGCCGTTCGACATCAAGCTGAGCCTGAGCAAGGCGGAGCGGCTTGCGCTCGGCGAGTCGTCGATGACGCACGCGATGGTGTTCACGGGCGTGCACCTCGACGAGAACGGCAAGCCGCTGCGGTACAAGGTCGAGAACGCGTGGGGCACGAATATCGGAAAGGAGGGCTGGTTCGTCATGACGCAGGAGTGGTTCGAGCAGTGAGTAGCTGTATTGTGTGGCAGCTCAGAGAATGCAGGACTGACGGTTGGGCAGGTTCGTTTATCAGGTCGTTGTGCCGAAGTCGTTTGCACCAAAGGAGCTCGTGAAAGTACTGGAGGCGGGCAACCCGACGGTGCTTCCTGCGTGGGATCCCATGGGTGCTTTGGCATAGACCGTTCCCTGCGAGTCTTCTTTCTTTACCCTAGCAGGTCCGTTCCTCTGAGTAGCAGGAGTGATGTAATATGTTCTTTGATTCTCCCCAAGTTGACAGTAAAGTAAGACTTGAACTGCCGGTAGTCTCGTGCGCCGGAGAAGCGCTAGCGTTCGGCACCAGGTGACACTGGACAAGACCATTTTCGGCATAGTTCGCTAAATAGAAGGTGGACTTGGATTCTGGTGTGCTCCAAAGTCGGTCAGCGATGCAGCACAAAGACAGATATCCAATGAGAGACTTTGAGCCAGAAGACGGTATGTCGCCAGGATGACCTAGAATTGTGTCACTGACCAGAGCAGATTCAGCAGACGGTTTCACCGGTCATGGATCCTACCAGACCTTGCCTTGGTATACACTAAGTCAACTTCCAACCAGAGAGGGTACTGCTATTATGGTGGATGTAATTTGCCAGAACACCTCACTTCGTGACTTCGACGAGCGACGCGTCCCGCAAGCGCGTCAGTCATGTGATGAAGTCCTGAACCATCGAGGGAGGACGGTCTATGCTGCTCAGGGAGTTTTTGAACTGGGCCGAGGCTCTGATGGTACTCAGATTTATCGCGCGTGAACGAGTCAACTTGAAGCAAGAATCCAGGAAGAGATTCTCCGAAGGTGTCGCGATTGGGACCCGCGAGGAGCGCGACCAATATCATATCATACGTTCTAAATTTGCAGCGCACGGAACTCCTATAGTGATCTTTCCGGGTAGTCATCCAGGTCGAAGGGACTTTATGAAGAACCATACGTTGCGCCTGTGAATCAAACTCGAGCCAGCAATACCCTTGTTCACATTCTACAGCATCGATCGAGGGTGCAGTGGTGTCTGACCGGGAGGCACAGGACTGGGACCTACATCGTAGTTCTCGACCTTATTTTTGTTGTACAATCTGACGTTTACGGAGCATATGTGGTAAGCATGTCTCCATACTCGAAGATGCTTCGTTCTCAGAAGCTAAGGCAGCTGGTTGTGGGTCCCAGCTCAACCTGACGTGGTTCGCCTTTGCTCTAGGTACTACTGGATCCCATCCCGCTGTTGTACAATGCGCAGATCTAGCACTTTTTTCAGTTCGAACACTCGCACTCGTATCGCCCTGCACCCTGATGTTCGAGCTGGCAGACCATGCTTAGGTGCCAGCGCGTGCGCTAACGACGACATGGGGTCCCTTAGGAGCGATGCTATGGTAAGTCATCACATGAAGCACGATGTTGATTAAACCACTAACTACATAATACTCTAAAGAAGGATTACTGCCGGGAATCTGAAGTCACGGAGTTGAGCCATTTGGTGACTTACTCAAGGTTGTGTCATTTCCGACCTACGAATATACCACATCATCCTCCAGCAGATCAGTGTTTATCCACTGATTCATCAAACCTGTAATCTCTTGTGAGTCACGTCTCTCCTTTGCTACTGCAGCTAGCAAGTCTAGCACTTTGATGGAGAGATTCTCTTCCATTATGTCTGTCTTCAAGTCGGGAAAGAGGCGATCTATAGCTCTTGCGAATACTTCTGGGTCAGAGTAAGTCGGACGTCCAAGCGTAAGCTTTATTAACTGATGATTCGCCTCAGGGATCTTCCAAAGGTCAGTACGATTCAGTGGGACGTGGATCGAATATAGGTCGAGATACCGCAGGCAAGGACTTTGGAGGGCCAGGGTAATTAGGCTTCTGAACGTCGTTCCATCACCTGCGAGTCGCAAGTTCAACCGCAAATCTTGCATCCTGGGCCATGCGAACGCCATTCGCTCGATGTCTCCGTCCACCATCAAGTAGGGTGGCCTTTCATTAGGCTCCCTGAAGTGGGGAGACATGTGGAACTTCTCCAGACATCGAAGCTCGAGCAGCGGATTGATTGCTGCGAGTACCCTGGCACCCTGAGGTGAGTCCGTGTCCTTTACTTCCTCCAAATCGAACTTCAGTGCTGTGAGTGTTGCGCTGAACTTCGTCAGTACCTTGCATAGGCTGTGTATCTGTTGTACCTCTACTTCCGGACACGTTTCAGCAAAGCAGACGCTCTTCAGCCGTGTAGAAGACACTCCTTTCAGAATCGCAGCGCCCTCCAGGGGCGGGGTGTTCTCGGCGTGGAAGGTCTCCAACATGGGAAAGATCGAGAAGTCACCCGCGATCTCTTCAGCGTCCTCGATATATACGACTACTGCGAATTCTCGGACAGTGGTGAGTGCTACGAACGTTTTCAGGAGGGGTGCCTTCACCCAACCGAGTGGATGCATGTGCATGTCGCCGAGATCGAGCTTCTCGAGCCTTTCGAAGCGGCCTATGAAGTCGAGCGGGAACCCGGGAAAGTATCCTCTGAGGCGCAAGGTCTTGAGGCACGGCACCGCGTCGGGGAGAGTAACAAACCATTCTCCGAGTATGGCGTCCTTCAGGGTAAGCAGTCCATTCGCGAAATTCTTCACCACCGAATTATTCAAGCTGATGTCTATCTCCTGGAGGGTTGGAGTGATAAATGCAGAAAGCACGCATCCTAGCCGCCGATCCATGCGCAACGTGTGATAGTCTACGTTCCATACGAGTACTTTCAAACCAGGCAAGAGGGGTCCTTGCCTCTTAGACTTCAGGCGAATGATAGCACTGTAAGGATCGTCGTTTGGGTCGTCACTCGCGCTCTTCGACTCGCCGTTTTCTTCATTGCTCGTGCTCTCCCTCTCGTTTTTGTCTCCATCTCCCGCCCTCCGTCTCAACGCTCCCTTCGAAGCTCGCACCCTCCGCCCCATTGCTTTCTCCATCGCTCGTATCCTCCCTCTTACTGTCCGCTTCGTCGCTCGCGCCCTCCGTCCCCCTGTTTTCTCCATCGCTCGCACCCTCTCTCTCAGTATTGTCTCCATCGCTCGAGCCCTCGTGCTCACTGTTTTCTTCATTGCTCGCGCCCTCTATCTCACTGCTTTCTTCCTCGCTACCGCTCTCTGTCTCACTGTTGTCCTCATCGCTCGCTCCCTCCGTTTCATCAGAGTTGTAGCCCGCAGGATCCACGGACCTAACATCCAGCCCGCGTACGCGGGTGGCATATACTTCAAAACGTGTCCAGTCCAGATCAGGATGGTCGGCATCAGCATCCTTCATAGCGAGGAAAGGTGAGCGGCGATGAGCACCCGGTTGCATCGTGTTGATGAATATGCAGGCAACTTACTTGAGGCTCTGATTGTGCATCCCGCAAGGCCATCGGGGGAGCCAGAGCAAGCAGACGATCAAGAGAGTCCAGGGTCTTCCATAGGGCATCGAGCGCGGGTCCCAGCCAGTGCTTGCAGGTAAGTGCCAAGTTCAAGAGAAGCCGAGTTTTGTAGTCCTTCAGCTGTCCTATCTCACGACAGATCATGTGGCACAGCTCGAGGGGTAGGAGAGACACAAGGCTGGAAGGCGCAGAGTCCTTGTGAGAGAGCAGAGCGGCGGGCATCGTGCCGGATGGTATTGGGGTCGACGATAATGTGGAGGGATGCTTGTGCGCGCCAAGCGCCAGAATATCTCGACCCGTAGAGCAATGAGTCGACGAAAGGAACCTCGTGGCACTAATACAAGGACGGTTGCGACGAGCCCCTTTATTATGCCACCGACCGAGTAAATCAGAACATCGAGTAAATGGGCACTGTGGGTGAGCATTTTTCCATTTTCTACGTTTTAATCAGGCGTGACCGTCCCAGCATCATGCCTGATTATGCACGTAGAATGCTGAAGCAGAAACTGAGAAAGCATTGGCCGACCCCAGACGCGTCGGTCACGTGTAACAGTAGGCGTCCTTCTTGATCAGTTCCCACGATCAGCGATTCCCGATCGATATCCTGTGTCACAGGAAACTCTTTGTCCTCGAACAGCTGTCCGTTCATTCAGGCGTCTCAAGCAAGCAAAACCTTTTCTTCACGACGAATTTTATGCAGCTGCGGCCGGCGATCCCTGATATTCTGCCCTCGAGGCATCGCGATGACCGGGACTTGGACATGCAATAAACATTCTGATGCGGCGTAAGAGAAAGGTGCGATAAACCCGACATTGTCTCCATTCCTGATGTCTATTCGTACCTAATAAGACTAACCCTACGGTATATACGCCCTCTGACAGCATAGGTGGGGATGTGTTCGTCCCCCTGCATCTCGCACAGCGGTCTCCCTTAACAGCCTATCCGACTCCCTATCGCTAGCTCTTCCAAGCTCTCCAGAACGTCCGAAGGGAATTTGTCCCTCATCTTTTCCGTCTGCAGGCCCGGGAAGAGGCGCCATAAAGCGCCTGCGAACTCTTCGGCATCGCGGTACGTGGGGCTCCTCAAATGGAGAACCTCCAACCGGTGGCTTGTTTGAGGTGCTGTCCTCAAGTTGAGTGTCTCGGGGACGTTCATTGAGTACAGGTATAGTGATTTAAGGTGAGGACTGCAGGTAGCCAGGGTAACGAGACTTTGGAAAGTCACTCCGCCGTCTGCAACTCGAACGTTCAGCTGTAATTCAGCCAATGCCGGCCAAGCACGCGCCATGCGCTCAAGATCCTCATCGACGGCCATGTAGGGCGGCAGGTCGTCGGGATTCTGGTAAAATGGTGATATCCTCAGCTCTTGAATGTTCGGCAGCACGAGGAGGGGGCTGATGACTTCTGAAAATCTAGCGCCATCGGGTGACTCCGGGTCTGAAATCGATTCGATATCAATGCGCAAGGTCGTGAGGGACGATGAAAACCGTGCCAGCGAGCCGAAGAGCAGCTGCACGTCGTAGAGGTCCAAAGGGTCTTCTGTTAGATTGTAGAAGAAGTTTTTCAACCGATTGGATGAAATCCTTCTGACTATCTCGTTAGCGACGGCAGGCATTGTGTTTTCCGTTCGCAAAGTCTCCAGGATCGGGAATGCGGACCAGGCTCCTGCAATATCCTGTGGCCGCTCAATGTACGCTATAACAGCGAACGTCTTGAGTTGGGTGAGCTGCGCGAACGACCGCAGACGTCGTGCCTTGACCCATCCGGTGTTATACATGTGCAGGTCCCCGAGATCAAGCACGACCAGTGATTGGAATTCCCGTATAAAGTCCAGGGAGAAGACTGGAACATATCCGCCGAGGCTGAAGTTCACCAGTCCTGGACACCTTCGCGGAAGAGTGGCGAACCAATTGCCGAGGGCTATATCGCGGCTAGCCAATATACGGTCGCTGATGCGGGGGATATCCTCATACTCGGCCATGAGCGACGTCGAAACGGACACGGCCTGAAGAGATCCAGTGGTGAAAGCCTCAAGGACGCCAGGTAGCCTTACATCGAGGGTGCTGCTCGAATGGACGTGCTCCCACCGGAACTCCCGCAGCAGGGGCAACAGTGGCCTTTGCCTGGCCCTAAATAGGTCGCCGATCACGTCGTATACATCGACGTTGCCATTCCCACCAGAAAAATAGGAATATCTTAGGGTACGGACCCGATTCGCGTAGGAGTCAAAACGCGTCCAGTCGATCTGGGGGGTGCTACTCCTGGAAGATTCCGACTCCTTCACAACGTAAGTTAGCCACCACATACGTCTGTAGCGATATAGCTCGGGTCACTCACGTCTGAATCGGTATCATCCTCTTCTGACCACCCTAGCAGCGTGGCCAACGTGAGAAGAGGGCGGATATAATGCAAGGACGCCCATAAGGCATCCAGTGCTGGAGCGGACCAGGATGTGCAGGTTAATGCCATGGAATAAAGATCCTCGCGGGAGTCGGCCGCATCGCAGACCATGCGGCGCAGTTCCGGCGGCAACTTGGACGCAGAGATGGGCGGCATCGAGAGAACGGGGCGAATGTGGGGGAGTAAGTGCGGTGGGTGTCTAAATATCGACGAGTCCGCCTCTGTATTTATACGAGCGGCCAGAGGTCGCTTGCGTCAGCGGAGACGGAAGAAGAACAAAGTCACCTAGCTTCCTGGTGGCCGCGATCAACCAGTTCACCGCGTACGGGTGCCGCATTCAGGGACCCTTTACGCCTGAATATGCGGTAACCTGGTATTTTGTGGCTGCCCCGGAACCATCTCCATGCTATATTCGGAACGACAGGCTTCTCACACGGCGACCATCGAGATATGTGTTCTTAAAGCGGTATTGATGGGTGTCAGTGTATTCATCCCGGTGTCTAATTTCATTGCGCCCTTGGCTATCTGATGTGGCCCCAGGCCCGAAGAAGGATAATCCTTCTGAGTACCAGGTTGACGTAGTAGGTTACCCCTATCCGTCGCTTCTTTTACCTCATGGATGCACTGTACCCCCAGCAGAGGCAACCAGGAGGTGGCGACTTTTGCCACAGGGCTTGCACTGGATATCCGGTTCCGCTATCAGACGGCCGGAACTAACTCGCTTCCAGGTTATAGGGGCTCTCCGCGTCATCTGGCTAAGACGGATTCGGCATTTTTGTCCGCGTCTTGGACCTTCTTCTGTTGGTGAGTATAGCTGGGATGAAGGCAACGCCTTCACCCTTCCCATGCCGACTGTTAATTTCTGTGCGCCGGCGTAGGCTTACTCATGCTTCACCTTGGAACCTTGTCCTCCTTTTATGACATCATGCGCCGTGCCTTGTGCTTCTGGGAGAAGCAGGGCCTCAGTGCCACATCGCTGCGGAATGTGGCACTCGCTGTCGATGATCTCTGGAAGAATTACAGTATACCGCCAGGATGCGCACATCACCTCGTCTTCAGCTCCTGGTTCTGGGAATTTTTCGTCCGCTAGTTTTTTGACACGATCCAATATTGTCTTGCTCCTTGTTTGTCTCAGTCGTCCTTGTTGCTGAATCCCGCCCCCAGTCGCCCGACATTCAAACATCGGGCTTCTGATACCAGTGGTATGTGCACCGACAAGCACTTTGTCCGTCCATCATCCTAGTCGTCTGCGTACCGACCTTTCGCCTCTGCGCGGTATCGAGAGAACAGGGGCTGACAGTTTCAGTGCTCCAATTATATTCTCAGTCATAGACGAGTGGCAGTCGAGCACCTCCGCGGTTGCCCCGAGTGACTATAGCTCTACAGTCCCGAGCCTTCAAGCCGCAAGTTGAGCACCCCCGCCCGGAATTACCTGCCCTTAACGTGGCGGAAGCTCATCAATATCGTTGATTTGCGGGAGTGAGTGACCCTCGCGTTCAGGATTGTAATCCGCTCCGACTCCGCGTTCGTCTCATCTCCCCGCTTGTACGGTGAGATATTAACTAAAGGCCCATGAGAAGTTGTTGCATTGACTATGGCAGTGATCATCACCTCAAATCTGCAGGGAGCCAGGCCTAGTTAGGCCTGGTTGTGGATGCGGATGAAATACGGGATCCGGACACGCAGTCAGTCAGTAAATATCCTTCCAATTTGAGGTCCTGGCTTGGGCCAATCAGCACGGAAGCCGAACGAATGGAGGTCGAGGATTGCGTTCATATTGTAGGCGTCAGTTGATCCTTATTACTTATTTATAATTGTTGTTGCGGACGCAGGCGGTATGTTCGATTACTGTATTGGCGGAAAGGCGGCCAGTCTATCTTGAATGTTTCCCAATGCGAGTTTGCTCGCTCGATGTCAGCAATTGGCGGGCGAAGTAATGCGAGGTCCAAAATCATCGCCCCCTGGCGTGAGCCCGGTATGTGGAGGCGTCGATTCATCCCCTTGGACAGGCTGGCTGGGCAAGGAACACTATTAGCAATATGACAGCCACAGTCAGCTTGGTCCAACAGTGTTCAACTTGAATTCCACCGAATATGCTTTCATGGAATTTCTTTTCACCGACAAGTCTCTGTCATCTTGCTAATGGTCTGCAAGAAGGAACGCATCACACGAAGACTTAGCGACTACCCAGCCAGTTCCGTGCACGAATCAAGTCTGTCTTGTATACTCAACGCATACCATCAGTTCACTTCCAGGTCCTTGTGTACAGTATACCTCTTGTCGCGCGATGAGAGAGGCACGGAGAATGCCGTACGCGTGTCAATCACTGCCGGTCCTCAGGCACGCAACCTCATCTCTGTGCTTGGTCCAATGAGGAAGTCCTTCAACGAAACTGATGGCGGTACGATGGCACCATCTAGAATTGCTGAGTGAGCAAAGGCCGACACATTTGGTGGATAAGGAGTTTGATGATGACCAAGCATGCTGTCTGCGGTTACGAAGAATAGCGAGGTTCGTAACGTCGATAACGACTGCCACTGTGTCGTGCGGGCGAGTATAAAGGCATCCGGCCCAATGCAGTGAGTGATACAGCAGCCTCAATCCAAGTTACTACCGAACTAAATGTCCTCCGCATCCTCTTCCAACCTCTTCCAGCCTATCCAGGTCGGTAATGTCAAGCTGGCGCACAGGGTCGCCCTGGCCCCTCTCACCCGATTCCGCGCGGACGAGAACCACGTCCCCTTCGACTTTGTCCCCGAATACTACGCGCAGAGGGGCAGCGTCCCCGGTACTCTGCTCGTAACCGAGGCGACCTATATTGCCAAGAAGGCCGGTGTGTTCCCTGCTCCAGGGATCCATGCGCCTGGTATTTGGAGTAAAGAACAGATCGAGCAGTGGAAGAAGGTGGCGTATACTTCCCTTGCATCGTTAACACGCGATGTCGGGATGCTAATGCGAGCTTCACAGGTGACCGCTGCTGTGCACGCCAAAGGCTCATACATCTTCCTGCAGCTCTGGGCGCTGGGCCGCGCAGCCGATCCCGAGGCCCTAGCAAAGCTCAACCTGCCTTACGTTTCCGCATCCGACGTTCCGCTCCCCGACAGGCCGGCCCCGCGGCCTCTCAACGTAGACGAGATCCACGAATACATCGAATTGTACGCGCAGGCAGCCAAGAACGCCATCGAGGCCGGGTTCGACGGCGTCGAGGTCCACGGCGCGAACGGCTTCCTGCCCGACCAGTTCCTGCAGGACGTGACGAACACGCGGACGGACGAGTACGGCGGCAGCATCGAGAACCGAGCACGCTTCCCGCTGGAGGTCCTCACAGCCGTCACCAAGGCAATCGGCGAGGAGAGAACCGCGATCCGGCTGAGTCCCTGGGAGCGCGCGCATGGTACGTCGGGTTCTCTCGCCTTCACAATATTCTGCTTGCTGACTCCCTCCTCCTAGCTATGGGCATGGCCGACCCGAGGCCCACCTTCACCTACATTATCCAGGCCATCAAGGAACGCTTCCCCCGCTTCGCCTACATCCACGTTACGGAGCCGCGCGTCATGGGCGGGGCCGATCGCGAAGTGGTACCAGCCAGCGAGTCGAACGACTTCGTGCTCGAGTCGTGGCTGCCGAAACCACTAGTCCTCGCCGGCGGATACACGCGCGAGCTCGCGCTGGAGGTCGCGGCAAGGGGGAACGTCATCGTCGCCTTCGGGCGGCATTTCATCGCGAATCCTGACCTGCCGCGGCGGCTGAAGGAGGATATCCCATTGAACAAGTACAACCGGGCGACATTCTATACCAACGGAACAGAGGGATATATTGACTATCCCTTTGCTGATCAGGGAGAGAATGGGAATGCGACTTCGTGAGCATAAATGGGGCATCGGTTTGTGGATAGTCACTCTGTAGAATGGACATAAGTTATTCTAGCGCTACAAGTCGAGTCAGTGGAAATCAGATGTATTTATCAGTTCTGCAAATGCGGGCCCGGCAAGTGAGCACTCAGTGAATGGTGAGTGCGCCCGTTGTGGTTACCCTTGGGCATGAGCTACAACATTGGTGCACTCAATATTCAACACGATCAGATTCTGGGCAATCGGATCATGAATTCCTGCGACAGCACTCTTCCACCGTCACTATCGTGAATTATCCGTCGCAATTTACCTTCTGACGGTCGCGCCTATTACATAGACTAGAATTCAAATTATTCAAGTCCGCCCTTGGCCTAAGTGCCTCCAAGGAGTGCCGATAGTGAATCTCCTATCAGGTTCCAAGAGTATGCTCTTGCCCGAGCTTCGATTCAGCCGTTTCGCAGGCGAAGAAGTGGACGGGTGGTCCCGGCGCGGGTTACACTGCACCCATCTTGCCTAGTTGTCTGCGTAACCGTGTCGTGAAGCAGCCAGCATGCCATACAAGTTTTTCGTAGGTGGCGGTGGGAGTGTCGCAGTGCTGTAGGTCCAAGACGGCACCGTCCCAAGCCCTTACCCGTCATATTTGAAAGTTCCTGATCACGCGGAGAGAGGCGACGTCAGGACCCACGAGCCCAATTTACGCAAAATGGATGCCACAATCGTGGAATGCGGATAGCAACCTGATCAGTGGGTGAGTCTGCGTACAGAGCAGGTTAGTAGTATCGGGTATGCCTGCGCACTTGAGAAAATCATCGACATCCAGGCTCGCGGCGCGCTTGGCGCCGTACCCGCTCTCTTCCAATATGCTTTCCACTTTCTTCTTGAAATCCTCTTCATCGGTGATCGTCTTGGAATAGTTTAGCAGGGAATTAATTCTGAGAACAGACGAGATAGCTTACAATGTCCTTCTCCGAGCACCAAGTGCGCCAATTGCTCTCCAGCATAGCCAAGACGCCCTTGGCCGCAAAATTGGCGTGGACAGTCTTATTTCGCCTGGAAAATACGATCCTGGTGAGCCCATCGAATTCCTCGAACTTGACGGGCGGGGGCGGATCGAGAGGAACAAGCCGCACTACCGAGCTATCTACCTGCGGAGGCGGTCGGAAGTTGTTTCGGCTGACCGCCCTTACATGGTCGACTTTAGCATAGAGTTGGACATTCGCTGACAGTCTGGACCAGAGCGGCGAGCCGGGGCGCGCCACGAGCCTCATAGCAAATTCTTTCTGGAACATTAAGATGGCGACGCGGAATAGAGGCCGATGCGAGAGCAGGCGGAAGATGAGCGGGGAGGAGATCTGGTACGGTGTGTTCGATATGCAGATGTCGAAGAAAGGGAGATCGGCCTTGACGAAATCACCGATCATAATATGCAGGCGTTTCTGTGCACCACTGCAGAGCGTCTCTCTCTCCGAATCAGAGTGAGATGAAGTCGAAGTCCATAACTCACGTTCCCTGCACGCGTTTGGTCAGTTCCGCGGCCATTCTGGGGTCCATTTCGATAGCTACGACGCTTTTTGCTTTCTCTAGGATTCGAACTGTGAGGTTTCCCGTTCCGGGACCCACTTCCAGAACAGTATCCGTCGGTTTTACATTAGCCTGAGCAAAAATTAGGGCCATTAGGGTAAGCCTTGTACGAGCATCCTCGGGGAGATCACCGTTTCGACAATTCTGAAATCGTAGCTCAGTATCAATATCACACATTACAGGAATGAGGACATGAACTGACTCCTCAGATATCTGGGGGTTCTTGAGGATATGTTGACCAAATCGCTCGGTATTGAACATCGGGTTCCTCGTCACAAGCGAAGCCCCGTGCGTGGCGCTACTCAACGACGTTTGCTTCACCGAAGGCCGATGGGCCCTGGAGAAACGATCCGTGGTGGCTTTTGGCATTTCGTATAGCAAGGAGCCTTAGGAGCAGCACACTGCTAAGCGCAGTCCAGTTACCTACAGTAATGGGTTGGGAGACGAAAGGCTTGTTGGTCCGAGTGTGAGCTTTGACCTGATGTGGTATTTCAGACTCCGAAAGAAAAGCTTCCGAACTACTCTCCAGCCTGCCTGAATAGTGAATCTGCCTTACTCCGATTACTGAACTTCTTGGAGGGCTCTTGTGCAGTACAGACGGTGCATCCTTGTCTTCTGCCGGCGTCTGCGCGTTACATAGATACTAGGCAAGTGCGTCTCTGTATGACTTGATATATGATACTGAACCCATTTTAGCCGGAGGAGCTGCTACACGGCTCCCATCTTCACGATGTGGCGCGCCACACCTCCCGATTTGTGGTCATCACAAATCGAGAATCCGGATCGGACATTGGCGTCTTCTAATGTTGACTATTACCCATCAAGGGTGTTTAAGCCGTATTTCTTTTGAGATCTTGGACATAGTCCCAGAGGCATCTCCAGATGCCTCTCGCCACCAAGGTATGTCCTGCGGTTTCCAGAAGTCCCTCATTGCTCAGAATGGGCATGTTTACTGGCCGCCACTAGCTCATGGACCATGCAATGTTGTAGATCATCTGTGTTTGCCTGAGATCGGCTTCGGTGCTGAGCAAAATACGAATCCTTCTTGTGATCCGGAGATGTTGGACAGCTTCTCCTTCCCTTCAGGTGAGGTGGGTGCATGTTTGGCTCATTCATAGGTGGTGGCACCGTACCTCAAAGACTTGAAGTGCTACACCACGAATGCCAAACGCCACAGTAGGGACTATAAAATCCTGGCTGCTTTTCTGGAGATGCATCCAAACAAAGCACTCCCATCGGCTCATCTGACCTCCGGTCAGATGAGCCAGCCTAATTAGGCCTGGGACCTGGGCTGTCTAGGTGGGTCTTGCCACACCAGTAATCGACACCTTTCTGTTCATGCCTGTCCGTCTGCGCCTCGTTCCTCGCGCATTTTAGTCCTAGGTGCTCGGGCGCGGTCCTTGCAACTGCTGTGCCCGTTACAGTTTGCTTCACCGAAGGGCGATGAGGCCTAGAGAAAGGATTTGTGCTGGCTTTGGCCATTCAATCGAATGGCAGAAATCCTGGGGAACACTGCTAAGCACACTCCAGTTACCTTATTATAGTAATGGGTTGGGAGACGAAAGGGAACGAAAGTTTGTTGGTCCCAGTGTAAGCTTTGCCCCGATGCGGTATTTCAGATTCCGAAGCAAAAGCTTCCGAAACATTCTCGAGCAGTAAGTCTGCCGCCTGATCATGAGTCTCATTATTCTTGGAAGACTTCTGAGCAGTGCAGATAGTCCATGGCCAGCTATGTCTTCTGCCAGCATCTGCGCGATGCGTAGATAATAGGTTAGTGGCTGATTAGGCAGGTGCTCCTCTGTATGGTTTGGAATATGGTGCTGGACCTATTTTAGTCACCTATCATCCGTCGTTGTGCACCACAGCACTTCATGTTAAAATATAGTAGGTCTTTGTATATGGTCTAGGGTAATGACAGCCAACGTCAACGATCAGCCATCAATCTGTGCGGCCATGCGCTGCTAGTACCTGGCTGGTTCTACGCTCTTCTCCCGACGAAGGTTATTTTGTGCTCTTCTTCGCTGACAACGCTGCGTTGTCCTTTGTCAATTTCGAATATTTCTCCCCCGCCCGCGGGTTGTCCGGGAGTCGGCAATTAGGTTAAGAGTGACGGGTATGAGTCCAATCTCGTGCCTCCAGCGGCACCCACCTTGAGGATGTGGCGCGCCACACCTCCTCCCGACTCACATACCCTCGTAACCTTGACTATTGCCTATCAAGGGTGTCTGCAACATTTCTATCCTTTGGGGTTTTTAAACGATCTAGAGGCATATTAAGATCCCTCGGTCCACCAAGGTACGTCCTGTGACTCCTAGAAGTCCATGAACGCTTGGAACGGGCTCGTTTGCTGGTGTGGACCATGCGATGCCGCAGATCGCCTAGCCTGCTTTTGCGTAAGGCCGGCTGCGGTGCTATGCACCATGCGCATTCTTCTTGTCATCCGGAGATGATGGACAGCTTCTCCTTTCCTTCAGGCGAGGCGGGTGCACGCACGCCTGACTCGTTCGTAGGCGGTGGCACCGTACCTCATTGACACAGACCCGACGGGCGACGCCACACGCCGCGGTAGGGAGTATGAAATCCTTGCTGTGTTTCGCCGGAGATACATCCAAACAAGGATACTCCAAGCACCCAGTGCACCAAGATGTGTCAACGGGTAACGTGCGTCTCCGCTCGCGCGGCTCTGGACATCCGCCGTACTCACGCCCCCTCCCCCCCCCTCCCAGAATCTACGATGCCTACACCTGCGGCGTACGTCCTTCCTCGCCGGCCCGCGTCTCCTCCAGACTGACGGCACCCTCCCCGCGCAGCACACGCGACTCGCCGCTGACAACCTCGTCCCGCGCACGAACGTCTCTTGCCGCACCAGCAGCACGCGGACTGCCTGCCTGCCTGTGCGCGTGCGTTATCACGCGAACCCTGGCAGACTAGCGGCAGATTGACACGGGTCGCCTGCGGAGGGAGGTCGACATGCGGGAGACATGCCAGAGGTGCGCGAGGCGGGCGGCGCGCGCTGGGAATCAAGCCGCACCCCTCCCGCCCGCCCGCGGCACTGCTCTTGCCGACTTGTTTTCTCATGCTGGCCGTCCATTCATGTGTGTGATTATACCTTCACGTGTATGCAATATATATATAAGCCGATATGCGATACGCGATATGCCGGCGCGGACGAGCTCCGTCGTCCATCGTCACTCGTGAAGGAAGGGTCACACCACCCAGGACACCGGTGTTCGCTCGACGACCCCGCGCGCGGGCGAGCTTGGGGCGGTCAGGGTGCAAGCAGTGTGCCATCGCCCCGCGGGAGACAAATCGGGTGCGCGAGCAGGGACGGGCGTCGTGATGTGTACCGGGGAGTCTGTCTTCTGTGCTTTCGCGCCGGCGGGGCGTGCGGTGAACAACGTATGTACCTGTCCGCGCGCGCGCGCCGTGCCAGATCTCAGCAGACCGGCAGCGAGCTGCGGAGGGCGACCGGTGACCAGCCCCCCCCCCCCCCCCCCGTCATGGGCAGAGGCTGGGACAGCGGCGAGGGGCGGCTCTGGGGGTAGGGCGGGCACTGGTATGCGTTATGCGTATTGTGTCTTTGGTCGGCGGGGGGCGACGCGCGGAGGGCTTCCCGGGCGTCCGGGGCGGGAAAGATGACTCGTGCGCTGCGCGCGGGGTGAGCGCGAGAACGTGTGAGCGGGGAGGGGCGAGGGCTCGTCGACGGGGTTGCTCGTCGGGAAGGCGCGGTACGTACGTACCTGGTGGGTTGGATCACGCCGGCCTCTGTCCGGTATCGCGATTCGACGACGTGTCCACACGGGTGAGGGTGCGGCGAGCTGCGCGACGTGCGTGCGAGGATGATAGTAGCCGTTTCCGGAAGGTGCACGTACGAATCCGCGGCGACGAGGGTGCGGCGATGCTAGTCGCTGGTGACGAGTCGGACGTACGTACGCTGCATGCTGCATATATCTGAAGATGCGACACCAGGTTCAGCGAAAAACCCGCCCGACAGAACGCAGTGAGCGCAGGAGCCCAAGACACTGAGGTCTAGTCACACAGTCGTGAGGGTCTCGTACCGGAGAAAGAGGCGTTGGAGGATGGAAAGTGCTTTTGCCCTTGCCGCGACGCGTATGCCCCAGCGGAGCATACAGTACGAAGCCAGCGTCAGCAGGAATGCGAGAGTCGACGGGCGATGAATCATTCACGAGTACGATAGACACGGCGGACAAATGATATGTCGAATCCTGCGGTGGCGCAGAAATTCGACAGTATGTCCCTTCAGCTGTCGAATTCCGGCCCAGCGTCACGCTGACGTCATCTCCGGATCTCGGGCAAGTCCGTAGCATGATATGTCACACCGTGTGTGTGACGGCTGCGAAAATGCGACCTGTAGGCTGTCGGATGGCTACCTAAGGTTCAAAATCCGGAGGAGATGTATTGTTACAGTACTACCAGGCGGCCTGCATCGAAATATTGAGCGTCCAAAGCAAATTCACGTTACCCTAGGCCTATTTATGCTTCCATTGAGATGGACCGATAAGGATGTGGCTCTGCTCTGATTTTCTCATGGCCGGTAGCTTTTCTGATCAATGCAACTTTGACTTTGAACGCGCTCTCAGCGCTTCACCATCAAGAAATGTATGTATATATGGCTTGGATGACTTGTTCACCAAGGTCCTCTTTCTGGCCGTCAAGAGTGCGGAGAGCGGTCGCTACATCGCAACGAATATTCCTCGGAGTTCCCTCGCTTATAGCTCAAGATCGGACTCGAAACACTAGTATAAGTCATTCGAGTTTCGCCCGCTGAATCATTTCACTACCTGTCAAGTGGCACGCTTCGCATTTTATGTCTGGTCAGCCCACAGACCCGAACGCAGTGACAACACCCGGTCAAGTCCCGCAGCTGACACCCGAATTTGCGGCTTATATTGAGGGCGCTCTCCATCGAGAAATCGAGAGAGTCCAGCAGCGACATGAGCAGATCCGTGCCGAGATGCAGGCGGCACAGTCAGCGCGGGAGCAATCTCTACGCACGGAGTTCGAGCCACGGGAGCAGCTGTACAAGGCTCAGATAGATTCACTTTATGCAGAGCTGCAGGCAGCACGGGGGAGTTCGAGGTACGTCGCAATCCTCTCTCTCTTATTGCTGGCACTAAGGTACATAGGAGGGAGAGCACCGTGCAAGATGGTGAAGACATAGTCATGCAGGGGGCGCCGGGACGCCCCCCGTTGCTGCGTCAGTCGCCTCGACCCCGATCGCCTTCTCCAACGATGAACGCCAGCCCCGCTCCGAAACGCGTCGGGGGATCCAACGTTCCTTACCCCCTCCCGAAACGTAAGAAGATCCCTCTCAACCCGAAGCCGCGGCGGCGAAAGTCTTCAACGCCAACAAAGAAACCGACTGCGCAGGTGTACCGGGTTCTCAATTCCGACTTGCCTCCTGATCTCGGCGGATTGAAGGTATGACTCATGCTACGGTTTTCGGTGCAGTCACCCAGATGTACATCTCTACAGAAAGCATTTTATACACACATCCGCATCTTGTGGCGGTTAGAACGATACGCTGTCCCGCAAGTCCCGCCTACCAACGTTCTCACTGAATTCGCCGCACGATTCTCCTCCGAGGGGAATCTCATTGCAGCGGCTACTGCAGGGCTGCCATTAGTCCACGTCAGCCTGGTCAATGTCTCGCGGTCTTTTCGTTTCGGAGCACGGGGTACTGCGCCGCCGTATGTCTTGGAGGTCGAAGAGCATATCCTACAGTACATGCAGGCATACATTGCTCGTTATGGGCTTACGTGCTGGTGCCCTGACCTCCGTGATACTCCTTATTCATTGTACAACTCGGCTTGTCGTATCATTGCCCTCGCGACCTTCAAACAGGCCCTCGTCTCAGGAACATATACCTTTCTGGGCCCCAATGTGAAATATGCATCAGATACGCAGCTTCTCCTGAAGCTGTACGACCACTTTGTCCATCATTATCAGCAGAAGCGGTTCAAGAAGGAGGAAAAATCACCAGGGAGTGTTTCACTCTCTGAGGAGCAGAAGAATGCGTACAAGAATCGTTGCCGGGTAAGTGTCCATTTCCTATAAGTCCTGATTTTTGATAATACTAATGCTCTTTCAGCTTGCCAAAGCCAGGAAGAAGTTCGCGAAAGAACAGGGATTCCCCAAGCGTTACATCGACATTGTTTCCGACATCAAGGCCACCTCGGATGACGAATGGGACCCATCTGTTCGCGCGTACGTCATTAGATGGAGACCAGAGCGCTCTGAAGCTGCGAATAGGTTCTTCAGGAGGTTTGATGAAGTTTGGAAGGAAATGACTCTCCTAACGCGCCGCTGGACTCAACGAGAGCGAGTTTGGCCTGTCAATCCACGAGACTCCTCTTTCCGAAGCCTACCGATGATGATGCCACTCGACTACTTTGACCCCGATTTCTATAACCGATTACTCCCTGGTGTCCGTAGGAAGATCACCAACCAAAGACTGGCATTCCCGGCAGATGCATCGCTCATCTTGCAGGTGCCTCTTTTCGCTGCTGAGGCGAAGCATGACCATCAGCTTCCTGAGGAGAATGCAGATGAGGTGCTCAAACGTTACAACATCCCGGATGAAGAGGTGGAAGCTATCTCTGCTGAGTCAGGTGATGAAGCGGAGGATGACTCGGAAGAAGATGGGGGAGTCATTGGACAGGATGAGGATAAGGAAGTGATTGAACAGCGCATGAGATTTGCTCAGATGGTAGATACACACATCTGAGAACATTGTAGACTAGCTTTGCATGTATATAATTTATACATTTTGAAGTAATCATGTCGTAATTATGTCCCAATCATCTGCATCCTGCATTGTGTCGGTTGTCTGTATCTCTTGGACATCTCACCTTCCCACAGAACCTTCTTGTATGAACATCACTGAGCAATCAACTCGAGCTGGATCTCAGCCGCCCGAGGCTGTCCGGGTGGTATGCCTTTGCAGGACATGCAGCACGGCAAGCTATGTCGACGCCGGTGGCAAAACACAATCAGGCCGTCTTGTGCATCCTAACACTCGCCGGGCACATTTGCTAAAGGATCACGAAGCCCTCCGAGGTGCAGTGACAAATCAGCTGGATGATAGCCAGGATCGTAAAGGAGAGCAACCGAGCACGGATGACCGCAACCAACCTCAGCAGAAGGAATGCGGGTGGCGCACTCACTCAAAGGTCCAAAGCAGAAAAGGGCAAAGACGTACAAACATGGTATGATGTTCTTTGCTGTGATTGTGTGAGGGAGCTCACGTCTTGCAAGTTGGAAGCTGTCGATAATTCTGAGGTCAGCGGAGGGCCACTCTCTGAAACTGAGCCTGTGAAGCCAGATATGCATAGAGGATGGGCTCAGGCTAGGGACACAGGTATGCTCATAATTACTATTCGGTGCCCTGGCTTAATTTTTCATATAGAATTCGACCAACAGAGCTCACCTATCATCACACTTGCCCTCACACTTGCCGCCTGGCTTCACATTTGCTGTGGCTTGAGCCGGCGAGCCTCAACCGTGGTACTGAAAGTCATCCACATCATTTTCCTCATGGCTTCCCAGCTTGCGCTCACCATCTCAGTGGCGCCTGAATCAGCAGTGCCTAAACTCAACTTGAAGGATGACATACGCTCTGCTCTGTCCGCCTTGTCCATTGAGCCTGTTCTATTCCGGTCTGTCTGCTGTCCAAAGTGTTTTGCGCAGTATCCGGTGGATCATTGTCCTGAATCTTGCCAACGTCGGGAGACACGCCGAAGTAAGCCTTGTGGTGAAGCTCTATGGACTGTACGTCATGGGAGTAATGCTGGACCTCATCCTTGTCCTCGATGGCTGTACACTACTCAGTCGTTCGAGGCATGGCTTACATGGTTCTTATCACGCCCTGGAATAGAAGATCTGATTGAGGAGTCATACACGAGTCAGCCATCCCCTGATGGGATCATGTACAGCATACGAGACAGCCCGGCATGGCAAAGCTTTGGTTCCTTCACATCAACTCGGGGGAATCTCGTTTTCAGCTTCTTCATAGACTGGTTCAATCCCTTGACAAATAAGATTGCAGGCAAGAAGATATCCACTGGTGCAATCATGCTATTCTGTCTGAATCTTCCGGAACATCTGCAGTGGGCTCCAGAAAATATGTTCTTTGCTGGCATCACACCACCGCCAAATGAGCCGAGTGTCACGACCATCACACATGTTGCCGATCCCGTCATTGACCAGCTTGCTGATTTCTATACCGGAAAGCTGATACCCACCTACAAGCATCCGCATGGCTCCTTGACTCGAGCTGGAGTAATGCCATTCATCGGCGACATTGTGGCTATCCGTAAAGGTGCTGGCTTTGCATCTCACAGTGCCGAGCCATTCTGTTCCTTCTGTCCGCTGCGAAGGAGTGAAATTGAGTCTCTAGATCTTGCAAGCTGGGGAACACGGACTGGTGCAGAGGTACGAATGGCTGCTGGTCTTTGGCGAGATGCACAGACAAAGGCCGAGAGGAAGCGACTCTTTTCTCAGTATGGAGTCCGATGGTCTGCCCTTCACAAACTATTCTACCGAAACCCCGTCCAACATACTGTCCTCGGCGTAATGCATAATTGGATGGAGGGTATTCTCCAGCATCATGCTCGTAGGAAATGGGGGATAGGTGTTGAATCCGGGCCCAGTGGTGATGACAAGGAGGACCTGGGCATAGCAGCATCAGCCCCAGGCCCTGCCGATTTTATGGATATTGACACAGAGGACTTATCAGCTGAAGTGGATGCCCTACTCGAAGACAGCATCAACCACTATGACTTACCGCTCTCTGAGAAGCGGGCAACCGGCCCTGTCCAATTTCGCATTGACAGTAGTGGAGAAGAGAGCAGCGATGATGACTTCATACAGCCAGACGATGAATCCGATAGCGACGATGACTCTTCGACAGGTCCATCTGAACCTGGAAATCATCTTACCTGTGAATTTAATCCAACTAACCTCTCAAAGATCCGGGCTTGCATTGGTGATATTGTTCTCCCTACTTGGGTAGAGAGACCTCCAAGAAACCTCGGCGACAAATCACATGGGAAACTGAAAGCTGATAATTGGTTCATTCTGTTCTCGGTTATCCTCCCTATGGTCCTGGTGGAGATGTGGTCTTCAGGGCAGCAGACTGCTCGACACAAAACACTGCTCGACAACTTCTATGACCTAGTGACTTGTACGAACATTGTTGGGTCTTTCTCAACTTCAAATGCCGCTGCAGATAGGTACACGGAACACTACATCCGCTATCGGTCATCACTTCAAAAGTTATACCCGCATTCAGGATCTGTTCCGAACCATCATTACGCTATGCATAATGGTGAAATGCTGAAGTTCTGGGGACCACTAATGTCGCTTAGTGAATTCCCGTATGAACGCCACAATGGCAGACTCCAGAAAATCAAGACAAATGGACATATGGGTGGGTATCCCATATCTCGGCTCGACTTTGAATCTGGGAAACATCACTGACTGTGAAACAGATGATCTCGACTACACTATGCTGAGACAAATATGCCACCATGGGCGGTTGACTGCTAAGATCCAAGATGCAATCCATGCTAACGATCCGCTTTCGAAAGCATATGCATTGCTGTCGCCAGGAACACCAAATGAGACAGCTTTGGGCTCGGGTGAGACATATCTCAAGTTCCTCAAGGAACATACTGCTGGGGAGACACTTTCGTCGTCAGCCTATGATTCCATCCTAACATATCTGCACTCGGTCGGAGTGAATGCGAGGCATTATGCAGATTTGCCGCATCCGAAGAGCACCGTGATCCTACCTCGGACAGCTGTTCAAAAGCGGCATTTCATGCACAAGGAGAGGGACTTCTCCGACCATAGTATGCACGAAGGGAACAGCTCTATTATATTCTGTTTGCCTGATGGGAGCTACTCGTCAGGATTTATCGAGAGAATCTGGTCAATGCTGGTTTCGGACATCACCCAGATTTTTCTTTTTGTCCGACCACACCAAGAGCTCTCGGAAAATGACCGGAGACTCGACCCATTCAGCAGCCGGCCGGGGTTCCTTACGAAACTTTACTATGATAAGTCCTCGACTCAAGAGATCACTATCCGTCCAGATGATATCATTTCCCATGGTGCGATACGTCACAGACCAGCATATACCTTCGACATTGCGGAAGCTACACTTCTCGTACACGACTTGAGTCGGGGCCGGAAATAATGTATACTTAGTCTCTAGTACAGTACACCCTATTCTCTACAGTATAACAGTGCATTGTTCAATGACCCACTAGTACTAGGTTAGCCCAGGATGACTCGGAGGGGATCACAATGTCGAAGTTGGCGGGTGAGGACTACCCCGCAGGCGGCGTCGACAACAACAAACCCTAGCCTTGCATGGCAGTTAGTCCAGTGACAAAGAGATGCAAGGAGGTACTTACATGATGAAGGCTAGTCTTCTGCAACATCCAGCAGCAAATACTAACCTTGTACAGCAAGAGAGGAATGTAAAGTTACCCGTCCAGTGTTGAACCACAGGGAACCTTCACATTGATGAGACAGGCAAGATCAGCAAGGGAAAAGATGGTGACAACTCACTTAATAGGCGCTGGTAAAAGACGGTTTCGCGGCGAGCCATCGGGAGGTGTCAGGGTACATCCAAGCGCGGTCACCAGGTCACCATTTGGACATCGACCGGACAAAAAAGGTTCGTATATACTCTCTCGAGTAGTCGCCGAGGGGTCCGTAGAATTGAGACGACGGATGAGGGACCAAAGTATTCTGTACAATACGCAACATCAGCATCAACAACCACAAGATGATACTCACAGCCTCACAAGTCTAGAACAGAGCCCCGCTCGCGACTATCCATCCCTGTATCGCAAACCAGCCTCGCTGACGATGTACATACACACTGTGACATCAGCGTCGGCTGTCATGGGTATTGAACGTTGAACGTTCGACAGGAGCGCATGGTATCACTATGGTCTGGCGAGCGGATGGCAGTCCGTCCCTTCATTGTTAGAATGGCGGCCAGACGGATGTGGATGGGATTACAAACCCTCCACTGCACACAAACAGAGCTTACAGCATAGGTCAGACAATACAGTAGATCTTCAGCTTCACTTCAGGAGTCGACACGGAATCCGGTCATTCGTCGGCGTCTAGCAGTTCCGGACCGATAGGCGCCATCGATGACGCAAGTGTGACGGAGTGACAGTCGGGCTGCAATTCGACAGCTGAAGGGACATACTGTCGAATTTCTGCGCCACCGCAGAATTCGACACATCATTTGTCCGCTGTGAGACGGAGACACGACAGGATCATCAGCTGCCCGCATCTTATCAGCCCTGATAATTATAGCCCGGCTCAACCCACGCTTCGCGAAGGCGGTGGCGGTGCCGTTTGCCCATTCCGTCATCGGTTGACGAAGGGAGTGGAGCCCTCGTTGATTCGCGCCCGCTGCCTTGCGTTCGTCGCTGGCGGGAACTCCCGACAACGACAGGGAAGCGTGCAAGCTGCGGAGGACGGCCAGGACTACTTTCCGGCGCCCGTGCCCTGCTGCGCTTGCGGGTTATCGCGACGCCTCCCTGCTGTATCAAGCCACTTCACCATCAGTTGATCACGCACTATCACCCCCCTCGCTCCAGCTACATAGCAAGACTCAGCTGCCACCCCGCCGTCGCCCAGGATGCCGCTCACCGCGCGCCCCGTCGTGCGCTACGTCGCCCTCGTCTTCGTCATCATCGTGCGTCCCGCCTTCCTTCCCCTTCTGGTAACTGAACATCGCGCAGATCGCCCTGCACTCCATCCTGACGTTCACCCACGCGGGCTACTCCCGCGCCACCTCCCTCTCCTCGCTCCTCTCCCCCGCCGCCTCCGCTTCCCCCGACAAGGTCCCCGCGGAGTACTTCCAGGACGTCGTCCCCGACTACGCCGTCGGGCTCCCCAACGCAAACCCGGACCCGAACACAAATCACAACGGCCACCTGCTGGTACGCAAAGCGAACGCGACCCTCCTCATGCTCGCGCGCAACTCCGACCTGGAGGGCGCGGTCAAGAGCGTGCGCGAGGTCGAGGACCGGTTCAATCGCAAGTTCGGCTACCCGTGGGTCTTCCTCAACGAGGAGGAGTTTTCCGAGGGGTTCAAGAAGTGCGTGTCTTTCCTTCCTCTCTTCGCCCGTCCCCCTCTCTTCTCCCCCACACACCGCTGAAGCCCTCCCAGACGCATCTCCGTCCTCACCACCGCCCCCGTCTCCTTCGGCCGCGTCCCCGCCGAGCACTGGTACCCGCCCTCCTGGATCGACGAGCAGAAAGCCGCCGCCGGGCGCAAGAAGCTCCAGGACGAGGGCGTCATCTACGGCGGCAGCGAGAGTTATCGCAACATGTGTCGCTTCAACTCGGGGGTGAGTTTGGGCTTTTGCCTTTGAGTTTTTTGGGCGGGGCGAGGGGAGGCGGGACGGGGGCGCTCTCGCCCCGCCCCCGTGTAGGCGTGGTACGGCAGTCGGGGTTGCGTCCGCGCATGCTGTGTTTGGCGGAGACATTCCGGGCCCGAGAGCCCTCCACGCGCAGGGCCGCCCAATCGCGCACCCCACCCTCTCGTGCCTGGCTGTCCCTCCTCCCCGTCCCCTCTCCCTCTCCCTTCTCCCTTCTCCCTTCTCCCTTGTTTCCTCACCCCGCCCGTCCTCTGCCCCTCTTCCAAATACCCACCCCCCCACTAACCCCCCCCCCCCCCGCCCCGCAGTTCTTCTTCCGCCACCCCCTCCTCACGCAGTACCGCTACTACTGGCGCGTCGAGCCGGACGTGCACTTCCACTGCGAGGTCGACTTCGACCCGTTCCTGTTCATGGGCGACCACGGGAAGGTGTACGGTGCGTCTTTCTTTCCTTCTCCTTCCCCCCTCTTCCCTTCCCCCCTTCCTCCCATCCTCCCATCCTTCCCCCCTCCCTCTTCCTTCCACTTTCCCCCCTTCCCCCCATCCCACCCACCCAACCCACTCTACCCCCCAGGCTTCACCATCACCATGTACGAATTCGAAAAGACCATCCCGACGCTGTGGGCCGCCGTGCGCGCCTTCGTGGCCGCGCACCCGGCGTACGTCGCGCGCGAGAACGCGGCGGCGTTCGTGAGCGACGATGGGGAGGGGTATAATTTGTGTCATTGTGAGTGGTTTTTTTGGTGGGGGGTGTGGGGTTGTGGGGGTTTTTTGGTGGGATTTTGGTGGGGGTTTTTAGTGGGGGGGAGGGGGAAGGCGGGGGG